TCGTAGATATATTTATTCGTCTCACGGCGTGATGGCGACCCGCAGTGTCGTCGCGGTGCTTTCAAAAGCTCAGAAAGCGTGATACGCTCGGGACTACGGCGATATTATATGCACGTCGCGCCGCGTGTACGTATACTCGCTCGCGCGCGAAAGAGGGAAAGAAAGAGACGTACCTGCCATATACGTATGCATATATGTATACGGGGAGGACACAGCGCGGCTCTTTGCGCAACCCCGAAAGCAATATATCGATGTTTAGCAACCAATAAACGGATCACTCAAAGAGGGCTTTTACCGTAAAGCGCCGGGTGCTTCTCTCGTCGACGTTCCCGCTCCTTCCTGCATCGCACAAACACACATATACAAGCCGCGCACATACATCGCCGTATGTGCGCATCTTTGAATGTGTGCGCGCCCGTCATGCATGTATATGTTTAACGGTGCTAGCCGAAGCACGGCGCTTTTATGGTTCAAAGTAAACGCATTTATAGAGCCGTTCGCTAGCAGCGGCGCGCTGCGTCGACGTAATTTCGCGACCAACCATTTAACGTTGCTTTTATGATAATGTTATCAATAGCTCAGACTTGTTCTCTTTCATACGTCTCGGCTCTTTCCCCTTCTGTTTCTCGGTATATACCGCTTATTTACAGTCTGCGTTTATCTTTCACCTGTATCGCCGGGAATGCCGCACGGAGAGGTCTTTGCTAATTCGACACACTAATATGACCGTAGCGATGGATCATCGCGTAGAAAAATTCACCTGGTGCAAGAGTTAATTAATTAATGCCCAGAGAGGCGAATATATTAGAATAACAGCAAAAAAATCGTAATGTATGTTTGTAACGAGCACAACCTGCGTCATTAATTTCACAATCAGTCGCGTTTTATAACAGATATGCCGTACAAAAATTATTTAGATTAAAATAAATTGATATAAATCTCATGTTTGTAAAAATAAGAGAATACCTAATCTTTGAAGTCAAGAATTTTTGCAGTAGAAAATTTATGTAAGTTATATATAGTAACAATTAAGATGTCTGAAGCTTAAATATTGTATTTCATAAAAATAAATCTCACTTGATTTAACATAATTTATTTATTTTTTACGATATACTCCAAATGTTTTAAAATGTTTGCTTTGTGACATTCTTAAAAAAACAATGCAATTAATATTATTACTATTTTGGCATTTAATAACTTTGTGTAGTAAGATTTGCATCAAAGTGAATTCTATTATTTTCTTTTGTCCGTAGGTTTATCCGTTTATCCACAGAATCTTCATAAAAGGTTAGTTGAAGAAACCGTTGAGAGAAAACATGTAGGAGCGCTATAAGATAAGAATGGGTGCCCTTAAAAGTGCTCTTATTTTGTCGTTGGCATCGCGATGTCACTTGCAGTGTCTTCATAATTCTTTTCACAAGTGGAGAAACAGTTGCGGCGGCTGGCAGAAAGTACCTCAAAGTGGATACTGCGATTTCAGTCCCATCTTTTGTCCGTCTTTCATGTCTCCATTCGCATCTTACCAACTTTTTATCAAGTGATCAAATTATGTGCCTATTTTATTATCTTTTGTATGTAAAAAACTGTTTACTCAGATATTATCGAAAAAATATATAAAATGTTTTTAAGTATACATTTTATTTGAGAATCTATGAATGAATCTATTAATGGATTGTTTAAACGATTATTATTTTACATCAATTGCTTTTTTTTAATTATATAGTTTTAAATAATAATGCTTAACTTTTGACATCAAATTCATCGATATTTTTCATTTTTAAATAAAATTTTTATATTATATAAATATGTCAATTCAAATTAAATATTAGATAGTGCTTTTTTAGTGTGATGATAATAAACTGCATTTGCAAACAAAGTATTTTATTAATTTATTAGAAAATATCTCAATTGTGTATCTGTTGAGCTTTTACAAGTCATTATAATTAAAAAATTACGAGCAATTCTACATATACGAAAGAAGTTCTCGAAAGTTCGTAGATTATATTCGTGTTATCGTCAAAATGAAAACCGCGCCGATCGTGTTCTCTCTCACGTAATATCTTACCACCATTGTCAGTTCTATGAGCTCGTTCGGAATCCCAAAAAGCGGGAGAAAAAGCTGGACCATTGTGGTGCGGATCGGCGATGCTTCCTGAAGAGACGTTCGCAAGAAAGAAGAAGGACGGACCGGATGGGGCGAGCTGTGAGCGAGTTTGTCGGTGGGGAAGTTAGCAGAGGGGGGGAGTTAGCAGAGGGTGGAATATACGAAATAGCTGGACATCTACCGTCGAGCGCCGATGGTGAACCCCGATGGTGACCGGTGGGCAGCGGCCTTGATGTATGTGCATGTGCACGGGGTGGAAAAGTCGGAGTCTCTCTCTTGCCGTATACATCGAGAACGCGCGCGTGTAGATGTCGTGCCAGGACACGCTGGATTTCGGAAGGGTAGGAAAGCGGGGGGGCAAAATCCTTGAAAAGCCGAGACCAGTGCGCCATTGGCCGCCGACAGAGCCCCGCGACCCCCTGCTCGGCCAATCCGGCTGCGAGCTGATAACGGCGGTGGTTCTTCTCTCCGCCTTCCGCCTCCTCAAGACGCTACGATTTCGCGCACTATATCAAAGAGGCGTATGTATGTATGCACATACATATATATCGGCGACTATATCGCATACGTTTCGCCGCCGCTCGCCTCCACGGGATTCGACCATCTTCTTTTTCCCGACCGAGAAAATTTTCCGGCTCGCGCGCCCCGCTCGTCCCCCCGCGATGGATGCTGGAGATCGTTCGCCCGACCGTTTTCCGACGTTCGTGTTCGATATCGGCGATGGATACCTCGGCGGAATTGCTCACGCTGCGAACGGTAACTGGAAGATTCGACCGAACGAATTTATTCGGGTCGAGAAGATCTAAAACAGAATATATTGCGGATCATTGCCGCTTTTTGATGTCCCGATTGCAATCACTGATATAGCGAGAATGTGAACGCACAAAACACAAAGTTGTTACTTTTTCTCTCAATTACATATATTTTTGAGATTCATAACTCGTCAAAGAATTTATAACTGAAAGAAAAAATGAGACAATTTTAAAATAAAGGTCTGCCTTTGGTTATTTTATTTTAAAGTGTCTCTAAATTTTCTAAATTTGAGAATAAAACTCAAAGACGGAAAGAAGATCAAAAGCGATTAATTAAAAGTGAATTTGCTTAGTTCATAATATGAGATTTAGAAACATTTAGGGCCGATTTTCCAAACTTTTTGATAGGTTAATCCGTCAGCTAGCTATTAATAAATATCAGTAATCCTTACTCGGTGGTTGAAATACCGAATAAAATTACCTCTATTGTCTTATTACCAAGAAGTAATTTCACTTGGGCGTAAATTTTTCTTAGTAAGAGCAATAAAAAAAAGTCTTCTTTGAAAGTACGATTTCTATCTTGCTAAAGAAATAAGGCTGCGTGTGAGGCGACGCAGGTGCCGACTTTAATGCAGTCTTAATTTTTTCGCTCGTGTGGAAATAATAAGAAGAGCGGCAAGAGTTATTTTACGCTGAAGTGTGTGTTTTGTACGGTTATTTAGTTTCTTTATAGTGTAAAAGGAAAATAATAGCGGTCTTCTATCTAATCTTTTCCACTTATCGGTCTCTATAAATATTTTTTTTCGTGTCACCACAATCACGATCTCAATACTTTCCACATTTTTATTATTTTTTCTGGTAATTATTTATTTTGATAATTTAAAAATTATTGATGTCATTTGTGTGTTTTTCTTATTTAAGTCTATCTAAACTTAAAAGAGGGAAATTATTGTTTATATGTTAAAAAAATTGCGTTATCCGTGTAGAAAAGATTACTTCGATTATGCTACAAATTTATATTACTATCTTCGAAAACAATTGATTGATTCGCAGTTTTTCGCGCAAATCGTGCAAAACAAAGAATTAGCAGAGATAGCGTAGTTGCATTGTTAGTAACATCTTCGATCGCGCATAGGTTTGTTGTCCGAAACGGCAGCTCTCTTCGTTTCTGAGTCGTGTAAGGCACATCGCAAGTGACTTAATGGGCTACGTTCGGCTGACAAGATAGAGGGTGACGATAAAGGTCCCTCCTTTATGGGCTTTCGAGGGTAGTAAGAGGAGGAGAAGCAGGAGGAGGAGGACGCGAAGGAGGGTGCGTGACCGTACGGAACGCCGCGTGACGCGTGTAATAACCGTAGCCGCGGCCTCTCCGCGCGGCACGCACCCCGCACACGAGGACTAAGTGTATACTTACTTGTATATACTTACGTGTCGAGAGCGCGCTGCCTCAGGTTGCACGGCAGGTGCCGCCGAGGATTCTAAAACGATCATGTCGGCGATGGGGAAACCGACCAGGCCCGTAGCTACCGCGAAATAAATAGTTACGAGCGAGAATAAACAAAGTATAATGCGCCTTACGCGATACAGCGATACAATGTTCTCAGTATACAAAGAAATAAAGTACAAAAAATATAAAAGAATAAAATCTTGAAATGAGAACACTATATGTTTACATTAATCCGATTGTTAAATTAATCTTAGGTATATTATTATTATTATTGAATGTGTAGTTATACAGTATTTATTTTAAACGACTTTGTAGTGAAATCTCTTTTACATTATTCAAAGAATGGATGTTACGTTAACAACATTTGAATACTAATAACAATGTAAATACTTGAGATCGTTTGGATGTTAATAAAAATAAAGTATAAAACTTTTACAAAAGTTAAAAAATTTCAAGTACGTCACTGAAAACGAGAATGAAAGGTGAAGTGCTTTGATGTCGACCACTGGCGACTGGCTAATATTATCTTTTTATCCTGTTCTTGATTAATGTTCCGAAGCTGACATGGTTTTGGCGATGTTTTTCATCAGCGCGCGGAAGTACGTATCCCCAATTAATTTGATCGGCGGATTAGCGAGTCCGTTGCGGCTATCGCGTAAGGATCGTGGGGTTTTTGCTTGAAGATAAACGCTTTCAGTGAGTTGGAACGTTTATTTATTGTTCGAGCTAAGTGCGAAATACTTCGCTAAACTCGATTATGGAGCAGAAATTACGCGAAGAATAAATTCGTTTCTCGAAGTTGAGAATATCTTCTTGCTGTTTTCTCCTAATTATCGCCTTTCCGCCTTTCCTCCGTTTCCTTAGCCGAATTTCCTGAAACAAGATTTCAAGCGATCACGTTTAACAGTTAAATATATGGCATTCTATGAAAGTTTCGAAAAAAGTTTCGGCCGCATTAGCATTTCATACATATAGTTGAGCGGTGAACATTTACGATGAAAAGTCAAAAAGACTTCAAGATGTAAAAGAGACTTTTTTAAAGAGTTCAATTCTTTAAATGTTTCCTTTTACTCTTTGATTTACTTTTTATATCGATTTATTTAATATAAAGAGAATATAAAAATCAATTATTCTTCTTAAAAATTCGCATTGTAATGTATTATAATGTAATGAGACCCTTTTTCTAGCTACTTTCCTTTCGAGAAAAGTGATTTCGACGCGGAAGCGAAATACGCACGTTATTATAGGACGACGATAACGTATTGTTGTTGCGTTCGGCCCCGCGTAAATCGGCATTGGATATTTTACGGCAGCGCGAGCAGATTACAGGCTCAATTAGCATGAGGACTACATAATTAATAACTTGATTAATGCGCCGAAGCGGAACGTCTGTCCATTTGTGCCATCAGGTTCGGCCTGCTGCGGCTCGCCGAGTCGTGGATGCCTCGCGTTTGCGCCAGCAGTCGATTGCTTCGTAATCGATTGCCGCGTCGTATAATATCGCTGCCGATCGCTTATGCTTACGCCGCTCATCGCGTCGCATCGCATCACATCGGCACGGCTCGCTTACGTTTATGTGTGTTTAGGCCCGTCGCCGTAGGGCAAAACTCATTAGCGCGTCATTTCATATTCCGGAAGGGAAGTTGGACCGGCTGTGCGACTGGCTCGCTCACCGGCTAGCCATTAATTCCGGTCAATTGTCAGGTATCCCGTTGAAAATCTGGCAATATTGAATGCTACGGCAATCGGTCGTAGATGTCTGTCGGTCATGCATCGTACATTTCAAACTCTCCAAGTGACAATTGAAGTAAGAGATGGATCGCCTCTCTCCGCGCGTTTTTCCAAATTCTAACAAATTTAATTCTTGCCATTTAATTGACTTTATTTTTATAACTGAGAAATTTTGAGAAATAAAAATTGTAAGGTATCTCAGTATATTTTAAGAAACTAATTGTGTTTCTTCTATCTCTCGATGATTCAAAATGAAAAGTGCAAGATAACATTTTGCGAGATGTGGACGATCTCATTTATAGATATTATCTCCTCTTGAAATCTCTGATTTGGTTTTTACAAGACTGCTAGCTCGGATCGAATATCACTGCTGTGCCTTATTCTGCCGTTCTTTCCCAAACATTGCTTTTTCCTAATGCACTCGCGGCAGACGGCGAATTAGAAAGACGAGCTACTTCCGTATACAGGTAGTCGGTGGTGTATATCGAACATTTATCAGCGTCGAAGACGGGAAGGCTGATCTCGAAAGACAAGCGCGATTGAGTTACGTTGATTTTATTCCGCATTATTCCACCCAGGAATCGCTCCTTGGCCGAATCAGTTTTATTTTCCGGATTGCCGATACGTACGTGCGTCGAACCGGCAGTTCGTTCGTTCGTTCATTCGTTCGTTCGCTCGCTCGCTCGCTCGCTCGCTCGCTCGCTGACTGGCACGCCGGGATTAACGTCATTGCGGTTTTTAAGCAGGCAATTTCCTAATTCGGTGCCCGGGGATCCCTGATTTATCGCGCTTTTGCCAGTTATTCCGTACTGCCGGTGATTTACGACGGGGCTTCGTCCCCGCCCCGCTACTCCTTCGCCGCGGTCTCTTCTTCCTCTTCCTCTTCTGTTTCTTTGGCTGCAACCGACCACCGACGACGACGACGTGGCCTCTTCTCGCTCGTCGTCCTCAATCGAGTTCGGAGGGTGCATTCTCGACGAAGTTGTACCATGCCGGATCTAAATCCTCGTTTTGCCACAAAGATGATGCAAAAGATGATTCGCAAACCTTTGATTCGTAGCAGATAAAGTCGAGATTGAAATTGCAAAGAAGTCAACGTGTAGAAAATCTCGCTCCAAAGATTGCGGTTTTCTGTTCAATTATTTTTCTAAATGCATTTCTTGTAATTTTTTTCCTTCTCTTTCTTTTTCTTACAATTAGAATTATTTGCTTATAATGCGTAATATGATGGACAAATAAAAAATAATTTCCGATATTTCATATATGACACTTGAGTTCTTTAGAATAATTAACCGCAAGAAGAACAGTAAACGCTATTTATTTATGCGAAATTGGATTGAATCTAGACCTCTAGAATCTAGAATTCTTTGAGCCATGAATAAGATACTAATTAATTAATTAATTAATATTATAAACTGTTTTGATTTCATTCTACTCAACTCATTAAAAGAAACATTTACATATAAAAACATGAACCTTCTTTTTCCGCACGGTACGCGATGCATCGTATTTATCCTCTTGTGTCAGGGCAAACAATATTACCGTTACTCGGGAGTTAATTGGATAATTAATTGGAAGTAGTTATAAAGAGGCGCCACGTCGTTCGTTCGCGCGCGCGCGCTTGCAGTCGTGCGAAAGTTCTGATAAATCATAGGAAGAGAAGTGTTTCGGAAGAACGCAATCTATCTCGTGATTGGACGAAACAACGTTGCGGCAACGCAACGGTGAGATGCACAATCCGCCGCTGTTGCACAATAATTAGCGTGGCATCTGCCTTTCCTCCTCGATGCTGTCTCGGTCCCTTCCCGCATCCATTTTTAATCAGAGGTTCAGAGGTTGCCTCTCGGAACGCTCCACGCCGCGGCACAGGTTCCTCGGGGTTTTTGCCCCCTTCGTCGTCGGGCGAATATGAGTTCAACGTACGTACGTTGCGTTTACCGAATGCGCGGACTTTTCAGTGCGTGTCTACGCGCACGTCCGTCCGCGGAATCCTGAAGCGAATCGTATGGGAAGTCTTCCACCTTCCGAGGAGGAATTATAAGCGGCGGATCCTGCAAAGGTGCGCGCCGCTCGATAATTAGTCGTAATCAGCGTTTAATCGCCGTCCGCCGCGGCGAAGCGCAGTGCGAATCAATGCGCTCTCATCAGACGCCGTACAGTCGTCATATTGCGATGTGTAACACGTCGAACACTCGCGCCAATTTTTCCGCCATTTATCTTCGTGGAGAAGAAAATTATGGAAAAGGATCGCAATAACGTCAACGATCTTTTACTTTTTAGACGACAATTGATGTTATTTCGTAACTTTTAGGGGAGATAAAACGCACTTCGATTAACTGGGGTAAGATAACATGCGCTGCACGATTTAGTAAGATTCAAAGTCACCCACGATATTCGCGACTCCGCTTCTTTCGGGAAAAAAAATATCGCGCGAATTTTTAGTGCGTTGGCGTAAACTGTGTTTCGCACGCCTGAAATATTTCGCGTCATTTTCATCGTGGGCGAAAGTATTTTTTTACAACTCGGTAAAATGACGGGCCTGGCACGTTCGTCGTCTTTGTTATCATTGAGAGAACATCGAAACTGTTGTTTCTCTACGCGCAAAAACAGGGAGAGATGTGGGAGATGGAGGCGATTCACGGTGGACCGATCATCGCGCGAAAACAAGAGTGGCTTGTTTTCGCAGCAGGCAAACTTGATCGGTTTGCGTGCCGCGGAATACCGTGTGCGAGTTTACGTTGCGTAAAAAAAAAGAAAATACATCTGAAAAAAATAGTCGGCTATTTCATCTGTGTGAATTCACCGGGCATAGAGAGAGGACCCTTCAAGACTCGCGCGCGAAGATCGCAACTTTGTATGCAATGAAAAATCAACTGTTAATAACAAACGATTAAGAGAAAATTATTGAAATCTGTTGAAAGTTTGTTTAAAAATTTATTTATTCAATTCATATTTCTATTATATTCCCATTTGACTTAGGAATGTATATTGTTCACTGATAGAGTGATGATACACAATTAATGTAGAAGTAATTTAAGATAACAGTTTAGCCAAAAACACTCTTACCGCACAAAACATAGTTTGGAATAAATCCATTGTTATTTTTCGGTATTTTCTAACTAAACAGATAGTGGCATGTATTTACACAAATCAGACAAGCTCGCGCTCATTAAGATACTCTCAGGAGGCCACCCTCTTTCTGCAGCTTCTCCCACGTTGACGTTACTAAATGTATTTGTGCGTTGCAAAGGAGGGTGGGCGAGGGTGGAGCAAAACGCAAAAGCCGGTAGAAGGGCTCGGCAGAAAGTTAGAGAGGGAGAGAGAGAGAGAGAGATAGAGAGCCCTCGAAACGATCGTTTCGAGGTTAACGAGGAGAGCTGTGATTCGGAGGGGCAGGCGAACAGAGTGAGGATGTAGCTAGCGGGGTGTTGGTAGTTCGCGGTGGATAATGGCCGAGACGACCAAGTCAACGATAATGGCAGCCCTAGGGACATCGCTCGGATTCGAAGGATCGGTCTTCGCGAGGAAACACTCGTTAGGGATCTCCTAACTGTCCCGGATCGTCGCGATCGCGCTTATGAATTCTGTTAGGAAGCGCCGTCGCAGCCGTCGCCTCGTGTCGACCTTGCCGACCTTTCCGGTTCCTTTGCGGCTAACTATAACCTCGTATTAATTGACTGCTCGTCTAGGTGATTCTATTTACGACTTCTGCGACTGATCATGCGTGCGGGAAAAATTGGAGATGATTTAAAGCGAGAGTCTCAATATATACGAATATGTAATGATGTAATAAAATATCAATGAAAATATGTAATCTATGTAATATTGTTTAGTGCTAAGAGAATTATAAAGAAATAAATTAAAAGCTACTGGAGATTGCAGGTGAATGTTATAAATATGTAATTTTTGATTTAGTTATTTTATATAATTTTTTTAGAAATTAACTAAGTTTCTTTGAAAAAATATAGTTTCTTTGTTCTTCAAGTTGATTTAACGCACAACTTGTTAATGTATAATCAATATTAAAGTCTTTTACATGCTACATGTGAAACAATCATAAATGCTGTATGTAACATTGCAATAATAAATATTGCGTTTCTAGAAGATTAATTCCCATAATTATCACAGGGTATCTGCGTCAA